CAGGCTGAGCCTAAACATAACTCCCAGAAATCCTGGAACTACTCTCACCTCTGAACACCACAACAGGCAGATTCAGGAGCAACTCCAAGTGCTGCCAGGAGCATCCAACAGACCTCACCAACCAGGAGTTTATTGCCTCTCTCAGCACAACAAACCCTGCAAGTGCTTCTGTGAACCCGATTTCCTGATGTATCCAAAAGGCACTTCCAACAATTTAGAGCCATTAATGACTGCAGGGACCTTCCTGCCAGTCCTGGCACGGGAACAGCACACAAACATCCCAAGAGGAATCAGCTGCTCTGTCAAGCACTTGTGTTAACAGGAAAACAGGCACAAATCCTGCTCTGGAAACTCTGCAGTCTGATTTTCCCCTCGGGATCACTGGTTTGGGGAGCACATGGGTGGATTCAGTGGCAGCTGGGGAAGGATGGGGATGGTAAGGAACTGGGATATGAGACTGTTATTCCTTGCAGTGACACAAACTCAGTGACTGACTTTCCCTCTCTCTGTTCTCTTCTCCCCCTTGTAAACCAGGACTGGCCTTTGACTCCCAGGAGGGGGATGAAACAAAACCCATTCCCATGTGCCAGGAGCTCTGAGATCCGTGGATGACTGGCGTTACACGGGGCAGCTCCGAGCCTGGTTTAATTACACAGCACGTTCCTGTCGCTCTGCTCCCAGCCCAGCTTCCCTGGGAAACTCGGGAGCAGGTGGGAAGGGTTTCCCAGCCCAAAGCCCTCTCATGCATCCAAGCAAGAAGCTGCAGAGCCCAGGCGGAGCTGTACGTACCCAGCCAGGGGCGAGGAGCAGCAGGAACAGGGTCCGGGTCACTGTCCCCAAGTTTCCAGACATCCCGAGCACTGGGAAGGGATCCAGGCTGCCGACTGGCTCCCGCTCGTTCGGAGTTTCTCGTCTCTTTGGAGCGAGTTGCACATCAGCTTCTCCTTAAATATCCTCTGGAGGGGGCGGGCCCCGCGCTGAGCGACGGGCTGGAACCGAGCCCGAAGGGGTGCAACAAAAACTGCCCAAATTCCAGGGAACACGAGCGGATTCCTGCGGCCCCCGCGGTTACGGGGCTGCCACTGCTGCCCGCAGCCTGGTTACCTTCCAGGCGGGTGAATCAAACCCCAGTAAAAGCAGGATTGCTAGGTTTTGATTTTTACCTCTTTCCGGCTCCCGGAGTAGGAATCCTGGCACAGCTTTGCTGCCAGAGCCCCCCTTTCCCTGCCTGCAGCCGCTCCCGTTTGGCCGCAGGAGCTCAGGGGTGAACAAGCAGAGCTTTGCGGTGCTCGGCGTTGGAGCAGGAGGGAGGGATGGGAAGTTTGGCGCTGTCAGGTGTCCCCTCTGTCCCTGCATCGCTTGTGCTTCCAGCCCCCAGAAATTAAAGTTTCATCACTGGAACTCCTGCGCGAGGAGGGCTTGTAAAACTCCTGCGTGTTTTACAAGGCAACGAATAGCTCCAGGATGAAGAATTTTGATTAAGGACGGCACTGCCCTAAAGTGCTTTGTTTGTGCCTCGGGATTGATGCAGGATCTCACGCATCTTTACTTGGGGGCAATATCCTTTCTATTTGCTGCTGAAATCCAGCACCAGGCTTCTGTACAGCCAGCACAACAGACCTTTGGAATAGGAGAGAGTTGTTTTGTGTATTAAAGAGTCGTTTTGTTTATTCCCGAAGAGGAGGCGGAGCGCTGCCGTGGGAGGAGGAGAAGGAGGAGGAGGAGGAGGAGGAGTGCAGCAGAGGGCACTCTTAGCCCTCGCTGGCCGGGGGTGGGACAGAGCAGCTCGGGTACCGGACAGAAGCCTCTGTGCTGCACATGGAGTGGCCTGAGAACGGTGGAGCTGTGCCTTAGTCAGGGAGCTTTCCCGGGGAGAAGTGGTGCAAGGTCTGGTACTTATTTGGGGCCAGGAGAAAGCAGGGGCTGGAGCTCAGGCACTGTCCCACAGAGCCCAGCACATCCCAGCTCAGTGCTGGGAAGCAGGGCAGAAAATGAGGGAGTGTAGTAGGTCATAAAATCATAGAGTGACAGAGCTCCTGAGCCGGAAGGGACCCATCAGGATCATCCAATCCCACTCCTGGCCCTGCACAGACACCCCAACAATCCCACCCTGTCTGTGAAAGCATTGTCCAAATGCTTCCTGAACTCAGACAGGCTTGGTACTGTGGCCACTGGGGAGCCTGTTCCCAGTGCTCAACCACCCTTTGGATGGAAAACCTTTTCCTGATATCCAGCTTAAACCTCCCCTGACTCAGCTTCATGCCGTTAATTTAAATTGCTTTAACCCGATTTAAATTTTAATTCATGCCATCATTTACATTCAGCCTCCTTCCTGTCTGCCTCCAAGGGTAGGGCAGTTTAGCTGGGAATCAAGCCCTGAATTTCATCCAGGTCCTGTCAGGTCCCTGTGCAACAAGATCAGCCTCCACACTCCCTGTGTGTCCAAACTGACAATTCCGACTCTTAACTAATTAGCACTTGGAAAGCCCCTCGGGATTCAGGGCTGGAGAGCATTAGCACAGTGCAAACCACCCCAGATGCACCTTCTTCTCCCCTTCCATAAGAGGGATTTCACAATCACTTCCATAACAGCCACCTCTGCCCGTGTCCCAGCAGAGGATTATGTCTGCACACATTCATGTTCTGGGGGTGGCACAAACACCCAGTGCCCTCAGGCAGCTTGGAGCTCCGGGCATACATTCCTTCCCCTCTTGGAGGGCTTGGCACCCTGAACTATGTTGTCACCTAAAATTAGCTGCTCACATTTCCCGGGACATTCTCCCACCGCTCGTAAATGAGACAGGGATGAAGTGCTGCACCACCTCCATCCTCATCCCCTCACACTGCAGGAATATAAACCCCAGCTGAGTCCTGAGCCCTCCAGGGCATCTGGAGATGACACATTTGTGGTTTTCTAGAAGGATCATCACCCTGTGTGATGTGTGGCTCAAACTTGTCCAAGAATAAGACATTCCCCTTTCTCCAGTGACAGGACAAGGGGGAATGGCTTCAGCAGAAAGAGGGCAGGGTTAGATGGGATATTGGGAAGGAATTGTTCCCTGGGAGGGTGGGGAGGCCCTGGCACAGGTTTCCCAGAGCAGCTGTGGCTGCCCCTGAATCCCTGGAAGTGTCCGAGGCCTGGTTGGATGGAGCTTGGAGCCACCTGGGCTGGTGGAAGGTGTCCCTGCCCATGGCAGGGGGTGGAACTGGATGGGCTTTAAGTTCCCTCCACACCCAAACAATTCCATGATTCCATGATTCTATAAGAAGCAGCAGCTGCACTTTGAACAGTGATCTTCCAAACTGTGCTTTAACACAAACCTGCTGTGTGACCTGGGATGAACTGTTCAATCACAGTCCTAAGGCTCACCCACCTGCCAGGAGTTTTGTTGGGAACATTCAGCACCAAGCTAGCATTTTGATGGCTGATTGGGTTTTCAACCTGCAACAGAAGTAAAGAATAATTTGATTATAAAACATCCTTTCCAAGCTACTCATCATCATCATCCACCTGAATGCTTCCACCTTCCCAGAGCAGTCAAACACACTGAGTTCAGTCCCACTCATCCTTCAAGCCACCTTAGCTCTTGGAGTATAGGAGCAGTAGGATGTGCAGAGGAAGCATCAGCTGGAGATCCCTGGATTTTGGGAGCTCCCTACACCCAAGTTCCAAGATTTTCCTAGGGCACTGGGACGAGCAAAGCTACCCCTCATGTGAGGAGCTGAACTGTTCACCCCACTGGACATACCCAGAGGGAAAAGAAGAACATGAAGGTTGAGTGCCTCAGGATGATCAAAGGCAGGAAACACCCAGGTTAGCACCGGTTTGGATCTCCTCCTTTTGCCTGAGCTGCCTCAAGTGAAGGGATAAAGGTGTCAACCCTGCTTAAAATCTCCCCCAAGCAAAGCATAGTGGGTGTTTAATTCACCTTGTTACGTTCTTCGGGGTTCACTCATCCTGCCCAACCGGCACGTTCCCTGAATTCACAGTAATTAAAATAGAAGACATTCAGATATTTGCTAAAAAATCGTGTCAGGCCAAGGAATAAAATGAAGGCAAGCACACACACAGGTTTTTTTGGCTCAGTGGGATTTCTCCCTGCCTGCAGAAGCCAAAACAAAAAGCTGGTACAAGCAGCATGGTACAGAGAATTGTGCTCTCCCAGTCCAGGGGATTGTCCTCACCCAGTCTGCAGTGACTCCCGAGCTGTCCCCTGTCCCAGAGCTGCTCAGTCACCCCCAGGACATGCTGGTGGCCCTAAAATTCCTTCTGAGGGTTCCTCCCTGTGTATCAGCTGTGTCACCACGTCAGTGGCTGTAAACTGTCAGAAGGAAGTGTCAGAGAAATGCAGCACCAGAGCTCAGCAAAGGCTCAGTTCTACACCCTGTCTAACTCCAGTCAGGGTGCAAAGGCTTCCTTGCTCTAGGGATGGAAAGGGCAGGAAAAACCACCCCTCCTCACTCCAGCACAGCCCTGGGATGAAATCCTGACTGCAGGGAAACACCCTCTGGCTCCAGCAGAGCTGGGATTCCCTCAGCATGCCAGATACACAGCCCTGAGGCCACTCTGCTGTGCCCACAGGGTGTCAGGGAGGGGACAGATTTTGTCCCTGGCTGCAGAGTTCACTTGTGAAATCCACAGTTCTATCAGCTCTGGGAGGAACACCCTGCTGTATTTGAGGATTTATTGTGACATCGGAGTCTGTCAAGGGATGTGACACTTGGGATGGGTGAGGTGGCTGCTGATGTCCTTGTAAAGGAAGTAAATATATAAAAACTGTCTTGGCATCACCAGTTTGGAAAGAGCCAGTGCTCAGACACAGAGCTGGCCAGGAAAAAGCAGACATTCTCCTCTAGGAAAAAAAAAAATAAATGCCCCCTTTGGAGCCTGATCTTGGCAGGATGTAAAAGTCCAGGTCTGCAGCAGCAGAGGATGCAGCCAAGGGCACCCAAGGAAAAGACACTGAACCCAGGGGATGCTCATTTCAGATCAGGTGAGCAGTGACAAACAACACTTCCAAGGATATCCCTGCAACGAGGCCATGGTGTAACAGCAGGTGACCTCCTGAGACCCTAAACTGCAAAATTTGGCTGTTCAGATGCAGCTGTGAGTCACCATCATGGCCAGGAGCATTTGTGCCGAGGCACGGGCTTGCACAGAACTGCAGGAGAAACAGGCCCTGGGAGGAAACAGCTGCACCCACCTGTGAAATGGATGCTTCCTCGGGTTTTTCCACTTCTTAACTTACTGCATGCTTAATTATCCTGAAGGAAAACTGCAGGGAGGGAGGGCATGTTTAAGGTGGACTCGGGCAGGGTCATTTAAGGAGGCTGTTTGTGCCACAGGACTGCTCTGATGTCTGAGACCAGCACTCCACATCTCCCTGAGTTTGGTCCTCCCCACCTGCACAGAAGGATGTGCTCAAGGGAACAGGGCTTGGGAAAGAGAAGGGACTAAGGCTAAGGAAGGTCTCTCTATCTGTGGGATATGGCATCACATTACTAGTTCTGCCTCCAAACACTGCATTTTCTCATCCCATGTTATGGGCACCAGGATCTGCCACCCCCTGAAGGAGCAGCTGCCCTGCCACGATGACCACGAGCTTCCCCTGGTGATTGTGTCTACACAGCTGCATCCAAGAGGGTGCCAGGGGGAATTTTCCTCTGGATCCCACCCCTCCAAGGACCTCTGGCACCACCCGTGCCCTAAAATCCAGGACTCAGACAAAACAGCTCTGCTGAAATCCCCAGTTCTTCCCTAATTCCCTGCACATCTCATCAGCCTCAACAGGCAGCAACAGGTCCCTGAGCTCTGCCAGGCTGGGAGGACCTCGAGGGGTGGGTGGCCTAGCAGGACTGGTGTGTAGCTCTCATTAGGGATTTGGGATTCCAACAGGAGCCTGCCCACA